TTTGGGTTTTCATGAGCTGTATGCCATAATCATCAGTATTAAAACAATTAAAGACCTGAAATATTTCAGTTGGTGTGCAATGAATCTGAAATATATGAAAGTTTCATTTTTATCATTACATTATGGAAAATAATGACCTTTATCACAATATGCTATTTTTTTGAGAAGGACCTGTATATATATCAGATTCATATTTTGAGTCAACTTGATTCTTGATAGCTAACTGACCTTGAAAAACACAAAAATTACTAAAACTGCGTCTATTTGATGATTTATTTGTTTGTTTGTTTGTTTGTTTTCTTCTTTCAGCTGCTCCCTTCTTCCAGGTCGCCACAATGAACTAACTCACTTGAAGACTTGGCAATTGATTTTCACCCTGATGTCCTTCCTGACGCAACCACAGCCCTCTGTGTGGAGCAGAGAGCTGCCATCCAGGGTGCTCAGGGGAGCAGATGGTGGGGGTTGAGCGTCTTGCTCAAGGGCTCAGAGTGGGGCAGGGAGGAGGCGAGTGTGGGTGCTTCACCTTTCCCACCCGCATTTTGATGATGTTGGTACTGGGGATCGAACCAGCAACCTTCTGATCACAGGCTCACCTTCTCTAGGTTCTGCGCCACCACTCCCCCAGTCTATTTTAAATAAACTATTTTATAGATATTGAGCTAAATCTTTGTGTATTAGTAGCTGGGAGTGGCACCCAGCAAATATTCAGAGGCATAACAAACAGGGCTTTATTTGTTTTTGTTTCAAATTTAGCCATTAACTATTTGGAGTCAACTACTTCTGTCTGTTAGCAAAATATCCCTTGAACCACTGGATGAATTTTCATGAAACTTTTAGGAAATCATCATTGGATGTAATTCTACAATTGATTAACAGGTGAAGCTAACCTCATTCAAAATGGCTGTCAAAGCTAATTTATCTTAGTGAAACAAAAATGGCTGAAACTTGGTGAATTTTACAGAAGTTGTTCTCTAAATTAGTGTATTGACAACACATACAATGAATGCTATTTATTTTGCAAGATCATCGCTTAAAACTTTAGAATGACCTGTTGAGCCAACTCTGTCTGTCTGTTACCAAAATACCTCTTGAACCACTGGACAGATTTTAATAAAATATTTATGAAATAATCACTCGATATACCTCTACAACTGATTAACTTTTAGAGTCAATCCAATTCAAGATGGCTGCCTTAGCTAACCGATAATAATCAACATTAAAACAGTGAAACTCAGTCAATTTAACATATATTCAGCCATTCATAACACATAATTTAACATATAT